GGAATAAGAATGGACCTGAATTAGATTGGATGAACATATGAGAATAAGAATGGATCTGACTTGGATTGGATGAACGTATAGGAATAAGAATGGATCTGACTTGGATTGGATGAACGTATAAGAATAAGAATGGACCTGACTTGGATTGGATGAACGTATAAGAATAAGAATGGAACTGACTTGGATTGGATGAACGTATGGGAATAAGAATGGACCTGAATGGGATTGGATGAACGTATGAGAATAACAATGGAACTGAATTAGATTGGATGAACGTATGAGAATAAGAATGGACCTGAATTGGATTGGATGAACATATACTAGGAATAAGAATGGCCTTAAATGAGATGAACGTATGGGAATAAGAATGGACCTGACTGGGATTGGATGAACGTATGGGAATAAGAATGGACCTGACTTACATATGATGAACATATACTAGGAATAAGAATGGCCTTAAATGAGATGAACGTATGGAAATAAGAATGTGCCTGACTTGGATTGGATGAACGTATGAGAATAAGAATGGACCTGAATTGGATTGGATGAACGTATGGGAATAAGAATGGACCAGAATCGGATTGGGTGAACGTATGAGAATAAGAATGGACCTGAATTGGATTGGATGAAGGTATATATTTAAGAAGCAATGCTAAAAGTTGAATAGAAGGGAAAAGAGGACGGGGATCGAGAACTAGCAGATGACAAATAGAAGCTGGGTGAAGCTTACCTCGTAAAAGCCATTTTTTCTTTCCAGTTTTCCATTATGCCATCTCCAGAAGTAGATATGTTCCTTGCCGCATGATACGATCGTTTTGCTGTCATCTGGGTCAAACATGACGGCAAGCGCGATGCTGGTAAACTCCTAGCCATACAGAGATATATATCTAAGCATGTATAGTCGACATGAGTGAAAAACGTCTGCGCATGCTCTGAATCTATATGCAAATTAGTCAAAAGATATGTAAATTTGGCTTTCAAACATGTTTGATGAATTGGACTTCACAAAATGCCAAACCTTAGTGTCCATGCTTGAAACTTAAGGCTAATTCTTTAATATTGTGTTTGTTAATACGATATCTTGGTCTGACAAAAGTATACTCGCGAACGCTTTAGTATACTTGGAGGAAACAAACATTTATTTTCTCACTCAAACTCTTCAAAATTCTTGGAAAACGTGCTAAAATGTATGCATGCGCAAACGTTTTTCTCTAGTGTCTGTATAGTCAGGGTATCTACTCGTTTTATCGTTAGGAAGTACTTTCATTCTGCAATTTTTTTATTTTGAATAATGCGCGCACAGAGAAAATGAGAATAACAAACATGCGCACGTTTTTTTACCACGTCTCATACCAGAATCATCCAAGAGGACACTTGCACATCTGATGCACAGCTTCAGCTAGTATACGTGATGGTCTCGCTCAACTATCTTCTGATCTTAACTTGCTCTTTCATTTACAACGATGCGCGCAAAGAGAATATTCATGATCACAAACGTGCGCACGCTTTTTCTCACGTCTCATTCTAGGATCACACAAAAAGACACTTGCGCATCTGGGCCCGGTTGTACGAAGCCTGGATAGCTCTATCCAACGGATAAATCCTTATCCAGTGGATAAGTCGATGCTGTTATCCAATAAATTTATCCACTGGATAAGATTTATCCGTTGGATAGCGCTATCCAGGCTTCGTACAACCGGGCCCACGCATAGCCTTAGCTAGTATTAGTGATTGTTTCGCTCAGTTGTTTTGTAAACTATTCTACTTCTTACTTTGCTCTTTCATTTACAACAATGCGCGCACAAAGAATATCATGATAACAAAGGTGCGCGCTTTTTTTTTGGTTACCACTTGGGCATCCGACGCACAGCTTCGGCTAGTATTAACAATGGTCTCGCTCAACTGTTTCGTAAAACATTCTACTTCTTACTTTACTCTGCACCAAACACTTCTTGTCTTTCCATTCCCAAAGACTGAGTCGATAACTGTCTCCGCTGCTGTCTATACATGATAATATATCGCCATTGTCCTTAAGAAAGCAAGACGTTTCATTAATAACGTGTTCATCGACGAGGTATAAATTTGTTGCGCAAAGTTGAGTAAAGTCGAGTCCTTTATTTGGTTTCTAACTGCATTTTCGAATATGCTTAACGCTCTCATGCTTAACACATTTAAGTCTGATGCGCATTTCTGATTCGGATTTCTAGCTACGCTTTTAAACGTTTGTGATTCTTTCGAAGGATCATTGTGACCAGAGCTAACACCGAATGAAACTCTGATGGGCAATCTTAAGTTTCGTTCCTAACTACACTTTTTTATGCAATTCTCCCAAAATATTCTGTAAGCAAGCCGGGCTAACGTCAAATGTATCGTCATTTAAGTTTCTGTTATCCGGTCAAGGCGTGGCGGAGTTGACATACTTATTTTTTCAAGTGCACATTCTCCGTCGAATTTCGTATCATTCTTATAGATAGGAATAGAAATCAGATTCCCTATCGATCGGCTACCACAACAAAAAAGATCTTATAAGATTAAGATAAAACTTAAGCTAAATATATAGAATGTTTACCTCTACTGAGAAAGCCATGGCTATCAAGCTAAGGGTGTAGTCATCTAACTGTAAGACTGTAAGGGTTAAGAGAGTCTCGCTGTCCCATATACGTACATGACTCTATAATAAACGTATCATGACTTATCAGAAAACTTATAGGTAATTGTTCTTGTAGAAATGATTGACGTAATGCGGCCATGAGCGCCCATCATTAGGGCGCAAAACATTATGTCGTAATTTATCTAATAATAATAATGATGATGACGATGATAATATTTACTAAATGTGCTTCAATAACTTGCACAGGTTATTTTGAATTTTATCGTTGACAAAAACACCCTAGAAACTTATTACACTAGCTATTTTACGATGTTTCTTGGAGAATAATTTTCCTTTTTGAATTGCCTCGAAAGTTACCGAGGAAGAAATCAATAATACTCATTCTCAAACTCATTAATAATTCATGAGTTCAATGACCAATGGCGACTTTGCATTGTAGTCACGTGCACGCACCTTGATACTTGATCAAAAACGGATGAAGACACTGATCAAAACACTGTTCACTTTTTTAGTCTCAGTAGATTCAAGAGCAAATGAATTATGATGACACTGAGAAGTAAGTTCAAAAACTCATCGTGCTTCGTGTTTGATCAGGGCATCCAAACACCTCGAAACAATAACAGCACTCGGACTAACGGCCTCGTGCTTTCATCTGTTTCTCGGTGTTTGGATGCTCTGATCAAACACTCGCACTCGTTTTTGATCTATTACGTGTGATGACACGTGGTGTTATATGAGAAAACATTATATTTGGCGCAAAATAGCCGTCTATTGATGTAGTTGAAATTCGGTTCTTACGAGGTCGTTTTGATCGAGAGAGAGTCCTGATGTTTGGCCAGTGGCGATGTACCATTGATTGGGATGAACCGCTATACTGTGAAAGAAAATAGAAGAAACATTTGGTTGCATACACGTGTTATATTCGAGGTTTATCAATATCAAACATTTTTATTGAAAGTCTAGACACGTGATGAAACTGTTTCGTGGCTCGTTCTAGTCGACCACGTAATTGCATCGTTTTCCCACCTATGCAACTGTTGCACGTATCGCTGCACTCGACCACATAATTGCACTGTTTCCACCTATGCAACTGTTGCACGTATCGTTGCACTCGACCACATAATTGCACTGTTTCCACCTATGCANACCACATAATTGCACTGTTTCCACCTATGCAACTGTTGCACGTATCGTTGCACTCGACCACATAATTGCACTGTTTCCACCTATGCAACTGTTGCGGGTATCGTTACACAAACGTTACTATGCCGCGGTTATCGAGCGCACTAAATGATCATTGCCGTTTGCGCTTAACTCGAGCTGCCATCCAACCACACGGAATAGACAACTTGCACTAACAGGTAGCGTCACCCTACCTCCCTTAAAATGAGCAGTTGTGCGTAAACGAATTGAACTTTAGAAATGAAAAGTGTCGGAGCTCGAGAAGACAACACATGGATCATGGGGGAGCGGGTGGGTGGGTCGTTACGTGTACATACCATTTGATATCGTCAGCGTGTTCAGTATAGTGTCTTTGTGAGTTATTCTTCCGGTTGTATATGACAACTACTCTGGATACAAAGTAGAGTAGCTCGCCTGATGGAAGTACGTGTAGATTGTATCGTGTGTCTTTACCCTGGTATCCGTAACTGGAAACCTTTGTTAAGGAAGTCATGCATCACACTAATAGAGCGGTTTTTATATAGGTGGGAGGCCGTCGCACTTACTTACAGTACTTACACGGCATGAAATTCCGTATCACTGAAATGGCTTCCGGCCCCAAAAGAATGGTTATCGCATGAGTGGGAAACCGACGGTATGGCCTTACAAAACGTGCACAGTACGACATGCCGTAACATTGAAATGGCTTCCCATAAGAATGGTTATCGTAAGAGTGGGAAACGTCCGGTACTGTCTTACAACACGTACATGGTACGACATACCGTAACACTAAATGGCTTCTTATGTTAGAAGGAAAGCATGAACGTTTATATTTCAGTTTTTAGGTCGTCAAGGATACACCCAATCAAGTTGTGGTCGTGCATCAGGTGCTAAGAATATTTCCTCGGTATCGCCCAACATGGCGTCTCTTTTCGATGGAGGGTAGAACGTAAGCGTCTTGTCTTTAACCTTAATTGTGACGCCTCGCTCATGACCTGGAATGAAGAACAGTAATAACAATAATGAAGAAATAGGAAACGCGCGCGTGCTGTGTGCAGTTATAAAGCAGGGGGGTTGGCAGAACACGAGAGAAGTGTTAGGAAAAGCACGACGCGTATTGGAGTCCTTCTCGACACTTCTTGAGTGGTCTACCAATTCCCAAGTGCTTTATAACTCCACAAAGCAAAGCAAGCAAGTTTTTTATTTCTTTTATAAAATAAGAATGTCAACGATAGGAATGACGCAACTGAAAGTGCGCGCGCGTGCAGTGTGCTCTCATAAAGCACGCGCTCTCAACCAATCAGAACGCGAGATTTTTATTGGCAGTCATTTTATAATATAGTTAAGAAAACACAAGAAATACTTGAGTGAGCAATATATAGCCAACCCCTCGTTTGTATCGAACACTTAAACAACCTGAGTTAATTCTACTGACCATCTAAATGTCTTTTCTGCTTTTTTCTTGATTTTTGTTTTCTTCCATTTGAGGGTGAGTGTCCGCCACCATTACTACTGTGGGAAGAAGGGTTGGATAGGTTCCGCTTGGTGCTGCCTTCTTGTACAATGACAGCTGTGTAGACGTCATCATCTCCGTGGAACATCTCCGACAAGCCACCAACCTAGACGAGAAGGATAATTAAAGACACTGAAATTGGATATTTTATATTTTATATTTTATTTTATATAGCATTTGCCGGAGGTATTTCTACCGTACTTCACCCCACGTAACCCTTTCCTACTTCAGAACCGCTGTATTACTTGATCACGGAATCGTTTACACAGGGTTTGCCTCATTTCAGTGTCCAAATATTCACAAATACCAACGGTAAAGTCAGTAAAGAATGCACAACTTCAATAATCACTTGAAGCATGAATATTCAAAGAATTCCATACGAAATCGAGGCTTTCATGCGAAATCAAAACTGGAGTATTGTTATTTGCTGAAGCGCAAAGACTAGAAAACGACGAGAAGCCAATCGATGTAACGGCATCCAATCTCTTGCATCTCGGGTAAGTAAACTAAAAGTTAAAGTATCTTAGTCCTGATATATGATCTTAAGTCGTTAAATAATTAGGCCTATTCTTTAGCTCGATCGACCATATTTTTTATCAGTAATGAGAAAAGGGTAAATTATACACCGTGAAAAGATGAAAAAACTTATTTTTTATCCCTTTTGAAACGAACTAGTAATCAAATTTTTAATAGTATTCTATCTTCGTAGAGAAATTTCAAATGAATCTCCTCTGCTTATTCAGTGGATTTCAATTTGACGTGTTAGTGTTTTGTCGGCACAAGACTTGGTTTTCATTTTAACCCTACTGAGCATGCGCGTACAAAAGTTGAGAACTACGAAAATACTACTAATAATAACATATTAAAACGCATCCCACATGGACCAACGTTACGATACGAGCTTGCTGACCAAAGAATCATTTGATAAATCGCTGGTCATAGCAAGGAGTTAATCATCTACGGTCTAGGGTCCGACTAACTTCTCCCTTAGGCTTTGGCCGAGCTTCCTGATCAATCAGTGGATAGCGGTGTTGGGGCCGAAATCTCCGGCATAGCCGTAAATGCTTCGCGCTGCCATACTGCGCTTCAGCACAGGGTCTGGAGGTATGGTCCTAACTTAATCAATCAATTAAAAGAATCCCATCCTAGTAAATTCTGTTCGATTATTGTACTCGTCATAACATTTAGGTAGAGTTTGTTTGGTCTCTCTCTTGATTCGAGCAGTGCGAGGGTTTTTCTCTGTCAATGTTTCAAAAGAGAAGAAAATATTGAAAGGTTAAGATTAAGACGGAAATATTCTAGTCGTTAAGTGAGAACTCTGAATAACGCAACGACCGAAGAATAATGAATGGCGCCATAAAATAAACTCTCATTCATCTTCTGTAGAAAATCTAAAGAAGCCTTTGACGAGGCCCTGGGGTATTGTATCTGCATGCATTCTAGATTTTCTACGACTATGGTACTTTTAACTCCTTAAAACGAATTGGAAGGCTTACTTTGTTATTCTACTTGAACAATCGCTCGCCATAACTTTTCTCGGCTGTTATTGGCTCGTACATGCATTATCGATAAAGTCAAATCCTACAACGTCGAAAAACGCTGTCCGACTTTTGATACAGGATTTGAGCTTGTCGGAAATGTCAAAGAAAAGTCAGCTGGAATGAAGTTTATTAAGTGACATTTTTGAACGGCACTTTAGAAAATTAGTTCAAACATGGGTTACCCATTTTGATATTATTGTGGTTGTCATGACTACACGTTCGATAGTTAGTGACAATTGGATTATAACTTCTTAATAAGATTAATCGTTTGTTTACGGAATTGTTTTTAGCCGTTAATGAAGAATGGAGAGAAAAAATATATAAGAAAAGAGCTGGTATAAGTTGCTCGAAAAAAGTAAATAGAATGTTGTGTCAATAAACAGATGAACGAACTCGCTTTGAGAGACAAATTTATTTTTAAAAAAAATTAAGGAAAAAAGGCGAAAAACAAAACCACATGCGGCGAAAGCGGAAATAATTGAAACTCGTTAGGTTAATAATTATAAATGATTATCTCAAATCTATATTTAAATTCCAGTTATTTAGGACGTCCCTCGAATGTAAACTCGTGCGAAGTACAGCTGTTATCGAGACGAATGAAGATAAAGCTATAGTTATTGAATTTGAACAAGAAATATAGTTATTGAGAACTGACGTTGGAAGTTAAAATCAATACATGGTTTAATTTATTTATTATTCGAAAATAAAGTTAATGAAAGTTCGTCTGGTTTATGACAATAAACAGTGCTAGGACAGGGATTTAATGTCTGTGTTTGGAAAGAAAGCTGGAGTAGCTAGAGTTAATTACTTAACTAAAAAAAATCTTTTTTAACAAGATTTTTCTTTTTCAGATTTTTTCCACAGCGTAATATTCCCGGCTATAATTAAGTTTTAACGTGGTTTAATATTGCTATTGAACTAAAGCAAACATAAAAATGCCTCGCAAAGATAAGAGTGGTTTAATAACATCTAAATTAAGTTAAAAAGTGTAATTTTTTCGGGGATTTTTTACTTACTTTTGCTGTTTTTTGTGACGAATAAAGTTCTTTCACGTACTCTCCTTGTAGCTTCATCATCTCGGAAACATCTCGTAAAACATCTTCATAACTCTTAACTGTTTTTCTGTTCAACAAAATCTTGCATTTTAGGTTTCTTTCCTTATTAATAATGGTAATAACTCTAGGTTTTGGAGTCTTATTATTTATTCTTGGGGAACTTGAATTTGAAGAGCTGTCGGAAGGGACAGCAAGTTTAATATTTTTTATGCCTTCGCTAGGAATATCATCGCTTTTTTCCTTTCTTTTTTCGGTATTATAATTGATATTTCTGATTAATTGGTCCCCAGAGGAACAGATGTAGTGGCCACCATCTTCGAGCTCATTAATGGAATTAATTATTTGGCCGTCAGGAGAAAAAATGTTTCTAACTCCATACGGTAAAGGAATTGCCCTTGATAAATCTTCTAGTAGGTTTTCAAACGAACGGTATCGTTGCTTCGTGATGATAAATGACCTTCCTTTGAAGTGTTTATCTCCGTTTCGATAAAAAATTACTCTTTTTGACAAGTTATTAGTCCTGTTTTTATTCAATTTACTTCGTTTGTCCTCGTTTGCGGTGGACGAGTCTTGATCCCCTTGGTAGCGTGCTCTAAATCGTTCACGAACTGGTGTAACTGGTTCGTCTCTTTTTGAATTTGGTACACCGCGTTTGCTTGCTCCTCGTCTTGCAACTGGAATTCTACTCTCATTTGACGGAACGTATCTTGACTGATCCATTGTTTTTCGGGTTTCGTTTTCCTTGTTAATCTTTGGCAAAACTTTTTGACTTCGCCTCTCGTGGTCTTCGTATTTTGGTTCTTCGCGATCATCGCTTTGCTCATAATCACCTTCGCTTTCATTTGAGCTGTACTCATGGGCAAGACTCCGGTCTTCAGGAACGACTCTGCGAGTAAAATTTATTTTCCCTCGATACGCCATAAACAGCTGTAGAATTATTTACTATAAAAAAATCACTTATTTTTGTCTCCTTATGGCTTCACCGAGTTTCTACTTCTGTCTTTTCTCAAGAGTCTTACGCCAGCGGTCAATTCAGCTGTTTCATACATARTGTTACAATACTTTTGAACGATTCTGTTAAATGTAACTTGCGCTAAATCTCCTCGATCGCCTAGATTAGTATTTGTAAACCAAGTTCATTTTAGGGCTTCCAGTCTCTAGGCCTTGACAACCCAGGCACGTTAGCCTCTTAACCGTTGTCCATCTCGAAACTATAAGTAACTATTTACTAAGCGAGCTTGTCTTCTACAGAACTCAGTCGTTGTCAGGTTAGTTTGTTTCTATGCAGGTGAAAATCTGCATTGCAAATTCTCAAGCCGATGGAGCGAGAAGGTCTGCATTAAATAAATAAGCGTTGGTCTCTTTGTTTTAATCCTTATTTCATTTATTCGTAGAAAAGAAATTAAGCTTTACAACAGTAAAAAAAGGATCCGCTGTAAAGTTTTACGCAAAATAGACGGGGAGTTGAATTGTCTTCTTGGAGCAGTGCATATTTTGTGTCTTCTTTTTCGATACACATTTTTAGAAAAGTTCAGATTTTACTTTACAATAAGATATTTTTTGTACCAATTCATCTCAGCTTGAAAATATTGAAAACTTGTAACAATTTAAATGAATTAAGAACACCGCACAATAGGAAGTTCTAATAAAATCAGACTGCCCGACATGTTATTTATATTCTAACACGGACGCTAAATTGTCACATTTTTCTTGAATTTTTCCTTGAAAATCTCCTAGCTTCTCAAGATAACGCGCTTGATATAAATCTTACTTAACATTTTCAGAAGCATTTAGAATATTTAATTCAGCAGGGTTCAAAAGAAGTTAAAATTTTAGAGGGAATTTCTTTTTTTCTCCAGTAAATTTGTATTCCGAAAGAACCATGTATTATCTTTCCATTCGCTGGAACGCGCACTCCGATCAATACCTATAATATATCTGACAGGTTTCAAAGATTTAGAAATGAGAAAAGTGAGTCTTTGAGGCAGGCCTGTTAGATAATAATGCGCGCGCATTCATAAGAAATAGTTTTAGGCCATGGCTAAACGAAGAAACAAGTTTCCAGAAACATGTTTCCCGCGCGGATGTTCACCGATGATTCCAAGTTTAGCCACATGCGAAACATTGCCACGTGCAACAAATTTTGCTTCCAAGACGCAAAAATGCTAACTCTATCTTGAAAGTGCGCATGCGCTAACCGATATTGAGTAAACATGTTTCCCGATGTTCCCTGACAGTTTTGCCACCTTTGGAAACATTTTGGGAAACATGTTTCCTCGTTTAGCCAGGGCCTTTCAAAATTTCAAAACTGAAAAATGGCGGGCAGGACTAAGCTTGATGGGAAAATGAAAGTAAGCTGATTGGCGAAGCTAATCCAGCGGATATTTCTACGTGAAAGTAAACTTCGTATTCTGAACAAATTATTTTTTATCCCTAAATGCAACGCCGAGGAAACGAAGTATTTACTAGTTCAAGACACTGGGAGTGTGAGACAACCTGAAAGCACGAAACAAGGTGTAGCAAATGTTAAGACGCACACAAACGTGCAACATTGCGCGCAAAATTGCAAGCAACGTTGCTAAAGTAGGGTTGTTTTGTACTTCAGCAGTATTGCGTGCAACAAATTGCGTTGTTTGACATGACCGCAACTTATCCGTCCTCGTTTCATGTAATAATAAATTGTAATTGAATTCAAGAAAAAACTCCGAGTTTCGCAATTAAAATAAGAACTAAGCACAAGATTTCCGACTATCTCTTTTAGGACTAAATTTTAAGGAATATCTCTAACGAATAATTTTATTAGTCGAAATTTCAATCTCCACCGTTGTTTTTCAAGTTTTTGTTTGTATATTGTGCAAATGAATTTTATTTTGGCTATTCGTTTTTGCTTTACCACACTTCAGTTTTCACTTATTTCTTCCAGCTTTTTCTCCTTTTGTTTGCTTTACCCGTGTCTTTACTGCACTTTTTCTTGTTTGTAGAAAATTTTCCGAGAGAATCGGAGCCATGGATCAAAATTGTAGCCGACATAGATCTATTACACAGAGTTTTAGTTACTTTATTATAAATAGAGTGCATACCATAAACCCATGAAAAAGTTAACAACAAAATTTGTACAACTTAATGCAAAGTTTTGTAGGTCTACGGTCTACTGAGGTCTACACTGAACATACTAATTTGTGCAAATTTGTGCAGTTTCTTACACGAGATTTTCACGGATATATGGTACGCACTCTAACGTCATGTATAGCAGTTTTACGCCATTATTAGCTGATAATTAGCCAATATAAATCAACGATAGAATAATTGTTTAAAGGATTAAATTAGCGTAACGAACCTTGATAAATTATTAAAGATTCAAGTAGAGACACCCGGGCGGCGATTACGTTAATGCTGGTTCAAAAATTCAAATAAAAAACGAGTAATCCTATCTATAAACTAGAACTAAAGATCTTAGATCGTACTAAAATCCTTGATAAACGCGCAGTGAAAAAATTTGAATTTCGTAAAAATCTCGAAGCTTGGGGTTCCTGCGGCGAACTCCCCTCCGGGGAGGGGAGGGGAAATCAAATCGAAACTAATTTTTAGAACCTTACGAAGGCAAGCGGCACGTCAAGGTAACGAATGATACCCTTTTAACCAATCACGAGACATGCACGACACATACATAACCTTTGCTTTTCAAGTTAAAAAATAATTTTAACAGTTTTTTTCTTAAGAAAAAAAAAACTCTTTTTAATAGATGGCTTGAAAAATTCTAACAATCAAAAACGCGTTTCGACACAACACAGATTCTAAAGCCCCGTTTACACTGGCGATGTTTGCGGCGATTTTTGCTGCGATTTGTGTGGCAATTTTCGGAAATATGAAATCTTTTGTCTCATCCTTCAAAAGAGACATTCGTCTAGGAAAATCTTGGTATCCTGAAAAAAACTTTACAAGTAAATTCTTTACCATTATTTATTATGGACAAAATCGCAAAAAAATCGCATCAAAAGTCGCCGCAAAAATCGCTAGTGTAAACGGGGCTTAAGAACAACTCGTTGCCTTGTATGTTATACGGATTTTCCTTTTACAGTGCTTTTTTTAATTCTCTGAAACATTTCTTAAGTATTTCGCATAGAATTTTTAATGACTTAAATTATTTGGAGAGACTGTATTTAAGCATGTGATTGATTATTGAAGCAGCTATCTGTGAAGCATCTTTGTTCTGCCCAAAGTATTCCATGAACTCTCCATCAGGATTCACTAGGTACTGAATAATGGTATGGTCAACCTTAAAACAATTGTAAAAATAAATAATTGGAAATTGTTTAGTCAAGAGAGAGAGTGTGTGTGGGGAGGGGAGGGGGGGGGTGGTTAGGGCTTGTGGAAATTAGGTGTGTCATACTTTTCGTATTTTCCTAATCCCTCTTTATGACTTGATTGCAAACTGGAACAATATTTTTGATGTTTCACCAACCCACCCCTCCCTGTGAAAAAATAAGAGTTTCTTATAAGTTGCAGATTTTATAGACTGAAATCTTATTAATTGTGCTCTTGGATGAACACACTTAGCAGTGAGAGTTTTTGCCTCTCAACAATGCAACCTTGGTCCGATTCCTAGACTTGGTATCATACATGAGTAGAGTTGCTTATTAGTTCCATGGTTCTCTTAGGACTGAGCTATGAGGGTTTTTATCTGGGTTCTCTAGTTTTCTGGCTGATTCTTGGTGTTGCAGGACATCAAGAAGACAATAAGACAATAGAAGAGAACAATGAGTTTGGAGCTAAACAAATACACTGGGAAGCACGGGTGGCGTAGCGGTGTGAGCGCTTGCCTCTCATCAATGCGACCAGAGTTCGAGTCCCGCCGGATTCGGTGTTGTATATGAGTAGAGTTGTTTGTTGGTTCTCTCCTGTGCTTCGAGGGTTTTCTGGGTTCTCCGGTTTTCCTCCCTCCGCAAAAATCAACTCCTAAATTCCAATTCGATCACGAAATGAGGGCCACAGGTTTGTTAGCCACTGGCTATTAAGTGCTACCCTCGTGAAAAAAGGACATTATTATTATTATTATAGAGAACGGCAAGTTACCCAAAATATAATACATCCTGCAACACCTAAAGACCAAAGGAATAATTACAGTATTGCATTTCGTACTTACAATGTAATCATCGTCATCATCTGCTGGTCCAGCGCTGAAGTAAACCCTGTATGACTTGCATACTTCTTTTACTTTTTCTACTGGTCCTGTTAGACCAATCAGTTTGGGGTGGAATTCTGATGATTTAAGGATGATTTATTTATATAAGTTGAAATGGAAAGTAAACTTGCTGCAAAAAAATTTGAGAACTTCATCATCTCCTTCACTCTACTATCATCATCTTTACCATCATCATCACTACTACCCCCGGGGAGGGTACTCTGCCAGAATTTGGGTAGGGGTGTTCCACTGGGATTCTGAAAGGGGTACCCTGTTTATGACAAAAAAACTCAAATTTGTAGACCCTGTTTATGACAAAAGATATAATTTATTGCACTTAGTTCCTGTTTCAATTATCATGTCATCTCGCATATCCTTTTTTTTACAACCATAATAACCAGTTTTGGTTT